TACTAATTTCCTCTAGTATTCATTTTCAACCAATTAGAGTGCAAGATTAATGTAATGTGACAATCAAAGCAATGACTCCTTTTTTTTTGTAAAGTAGCATTTTCTCAAAAATTCAGCTAAGAAATTATCTTTGGTGCATTGATAAAAAAAATTCATTGCAGAATTTTATTATAATATTGCTCAATAACACTAACGTCAAACCCTGATTGAGGTGTCCTGTTTTAAACAAAAGTATGTGTAAATTGATGTAAATAATCTCAATCATAGGAGGAAATTAGTAAGTGCGATGTATTTATACTAACTCCTATAATGCAAATTTTTCTTAAAAATCATATATATTAGATATTATATATATTTATAAATATTTATCTTAAAGATAATGCTGTGTTGTTTGTTTTCTGTATATTTTAAACCATGTATATATTACAGTGTTCACAACATATATATAATTATACTAACTAATTATATATATTTTTTTGTTATTGTTTATAAATGTGCAAATATATATATAGATCATTTTAAGTAACCTTGTGCATTTTGATTTAGATCCAGAAGATCTTCTTAAATTTCTTGCTTTACTTATTATAACTGTGACAGTACAAAAAATCCTAAATATTGATAATAAAGATGTGTTTATAACAGTTTTAATAACTGACTATATGGATCAGGATTAAAATGATACTGAAATTATTTGTCATTATCTAGAATCTGTACCTATTTAATTCATATTACTTCAACTATAAAAAAAATTCGCTTCTTTATATTAATAGTGAATTCATTGTGCATGATAATAAAAATTATGTATATGTTAAGAGTATGACCTTTTCTGGTTACTAGAAAGTGCAGATAAGTATAAATAGCTCTTCGAAAATTCTCTGGAACCTGATGTTTTTAATAAGTCAATTAAAACTGTTAGCTTTACTGAGATCATAGCAGCAAGATTTAATAGCAAAGTTGAAAACAAAAGATCACCTGCAATTAAACCATCTCAAACTAACTCTTCATTAGTAGCCAATACTCAATCTGTAACTAACTTTATATTAGTAGCTAATGCTCTGTCTGTAACTTACTTTCTGTTAGTAACCAAACTTCTTTCAGAAATTAGACCTTCATCAGTAACTAAGTCTTCATCCATGATTAATTCTTTATCTGCAAGTAAGCCATCTACATGAGCTAAGAGCAAGCACAAGCTGTTGGACTTAGCAAAAGATATATTAACCAATTCAACCAAATTAGATCAGTTTGAGTAAATATGTAAGTGTGCTATGTATGATATTGCTTGCTGCAAATGCTACAACTTTTCTGTAATACAATTAGGATTGTGACTTATATTACAATTTAATATTATAATTTATTTTATAATATTATAATGCAAACAAGTATAAGAAATACCAAGTCTCTACTCTGTAGCAAGCAACTCTAACTTTATATATATTCTTTATATATTTGATATTAATTATATGTTAACTGAGTAGATTTCTTGCATTAACAAATCATTTTTTATAAATTTTATGTACAGTCAAACCCCTCTATAGTCACACCTTTGGGATACAAAAAACTGTGATTATAAAGAGGTGACTAATATAGAGGTGTTTTCTATATAGTTATAAATAATTGGTAAAAATAAATTAGTAATTATACATACCAATTTTGTAACTATAGAGGAGGTAACTATAGAAAGGTTGACTGTAGTTCTATAAAGTTATATAAATATTATATAAAATTCTTACAAATCTGATACAAACTTATATAATAAAAAATTTTTAAATATAAACTACATATTTTTTATTTATAATTTTATTTATTGTAAAAATATAAATTTGTATATATGGGTGTGGCGACTTAGTGAGGTTGGTAAATTGTCGTATCCCCAAGTGGCAGAACAAGAGTTCGAATCCCAATGGTGACAAAATTCGAATTTTACAGAATGTGTTACAGCAGATTATGTGTAATCTAATGGATCATCAGATCTGTATCTTTGTTTGTACCAGCTTGTACTAAAAGAATATAGAACTATAGTGTGATGCAAGAGTTACATAAAATCTAAGTGAAGTGTTTGTATAAATCCAAGGGCTGGAGCAAACAAAATCCTGCTTGGCAAGTCCCGAGTAGAGAGATAGCACAAATCTTCGATGGCGCTATGTAAAGGATTATCACCAAAGATCTGGAAACTGGACAGAACTGAGGTGTTCAGCAAGGCACTATACCAACCAGACTATCGGTATATTCTGAGGAGGGGTCCACCCTTTCAGGCTATCTGGATTGGGAGTTTTGGGACTGGTGAAATGGTAAACAGTCTGTAAAGTGAGTGCTGGGGTTTGGGTGAACTCTACAAGTGCAGTAGTAGGTAATGGTAGTAGCTTCGGCTCACAAGTACTCGTTTTCGGACTTGGCATAAGTTACCGAAAGTCTAGTTTAGCCAGATTGTGGGTACAGAAAGCTCTAGCAATGATGCCTCGAGGATAAATTAGTTCTAAGGTTATGGTATGCATTCGGAACTCTTGACTGACGAATGTAACAGAGTGTTTTGATAACACAAGGAGGCAGTGTACATTACAGAGGTTTTAAATAGG